AGTATGAAATGAGACACAAAATGATGAGAAATATGCAAAATAAAAGTTTAATGACTATAAAAGCTAAANAAAATACATGCTAAATATGCTAAAATATGAATGCATCAATGATTTATCTGCTTTATGTTTTATCGCAATTCAATTATATTGTATTAATGATGGAGAATGCTTAATTCCCTCCTTTTGTACTCTGATCGTTTAAAGGAATGAAAAGTTTGTTGACAAAAAAAGAGGGACTGTCTGAGTGTTTAGAGGGAATAGTTTAGAGGGACTATAGATCTGTATAGCTTTTCTAACTTTGAAGACTGTCTGAGTGCGTATAAGAACAAATGTTGAATCACGAAGAATAATGATTGATGGCATTTGGGATGATTACGGACTAAAAAAATCCGTTTAAGTAACTATTGAATCATATGGTTGTGAGTTTTGTGCTTGTGCTTTATGGTTTGTTGACTGGCAAGGCCGGCCATGATCATAAGCGGATTAAACATGGGTTGCGGATTTTTAAAAATCAGAATTGATTTCGTTTACAAAACGGTCTATGAGCATAAATATGATCAATTTATTTTTCTTCGTTTAACGTGTTCAATGTAAACGTCTAGTAAATATGAAATTTGAGTCTGTGTTTGATGCCTTGATGAGTATACTCTCTCTAGTAATGTGAAATTTGAGTTTGTGTTTGTTGCCTCGAGTACTCTCTATGTTATTTAAAATTACATTACATTACATTAATAATTTCAATATAAGAGTGAATATTACTTTAAATGTATAAATCTCATCATGCCATTTGTTAAGTATAGGAATGATCTCGATTCACTTAACAAATTGAATGGTCACAATGATCCTGGTTCAAGAACAAATGGTTATCTTTTTTTAGTTCGGAATTGATCAGAACTTAGAAGAGTCGGAAGTCGGAAGTGCAAATAATATGTTATTTTATTCATTTTAAAACTCGTTAAACGTGGTCTACGAAGATGTGTTCTTAAACTGATTTTGTATATTTTTAATTTTGTATGCACTCGATCTTCACTTAGTCCGAGTGAACTAACCATAACGATAGAAATTTGGGTTCAAGACATCTCGGAGTGACCTTGTACACGTAGGAGGTGAAAGCAGACAAATGTGTTTCGAAATACTTTGTAATGTATGTACAAATGTGTGACATTTCGGATTATCCACGTGATTTAGTAATGGCATGCAAGTGATAATAGGTTTAACATGGATGACGTTACTATGCACACGGTATAAGAAATATTTTCTGTAAAAAAATTCGGTAAAAAACCCGAAAATTAAAAAACAAAATTGAACTAGTAACTACAACATAGCAGAAATAACCAAGAAAATAAGATGAGATCAAACGTAAGTTTTAACTTTTTGTCTAAAGTTTTTCATGAAAATTTGAGAATTCAGAATTTTCGTTCCGAGCTCCTTCTATTCTCAAATGAATTTTACATCATAAACGAGAACATCTCAAAACTGAGAGACAGATAAATTTTGTGTCCACACTTCCTCACTTGAGTGCTTGAAACTCAAAAGCGAAATGGTATTTACTATTTAAATTTACTGGAACCAAAATTCTCCAGCGGTAATCGAAAGTGGAAAATAACGAAGAAAATAACAAAGAAAAAATTCACCATCTCTCTCTC